GGATCAGGATTCAGGGTCAGATGAGAAGATGGATCACACAGAGGGTCATCATGGTAACCAAGCAGACCCATCAGCAACGTCTGAGAGGTATTTTTTTTGTGAAATCTGTGGAGAAACCTTTTCACAGAAATCACTACATTACCAACATGTAAAGGTCCACAAAGTCTGGAACCAGAACTCTGATAAACTGACGTATTGTTGTCCCACCTGTGGGAAAAATGACTCTACTTACAGTGGCTTAGTCAGACACATGGTTGTCCACACAGAGTTGAAACCATTTTCTTGCAAAACTTGTGGGAAAGGTTTTAAACATCAGTCACATCTGAATGCTCACGTAAAGGTCCACACAGGAGAGAAGCCATTTATTTGTAAAAGTTGTGGAAAAAGTTTTTACCAAAATTCCTATTTGACTCGTCACATGAAGATCCACACAGGAGAGAAGGCACTTTCTTGTGAAACATGTGGAAAACCTTTTAAATTTCAGTCACATCTGAAATGTCACATGAAGATCCATGAAGGAGGGAAGCCATTTATTTGTAAAACATGTGGAAAAGGTTTTTACAGAAGTACTTATCTTAATCGTCACATGCGGATCCACACAGAAGAGAAGCTGTTGATTTGTAAAACATGTGGAAAACATTTTAATCATCAGTTAGACATGCATCGTCACATGCAGATCCACACAGCAAAGAAGGCCTTGGTTTGTAAAATATGTGGAAAACTTTTTGAATATCCTTCAGGTCTGAATCGTCACATGATGTCTCACACGGGAGAGAAGCCTTTTTCTTGTAAAACTTGTGGAAAATCTTATCATCAAAAATCACATCTTCAAARTCACATGAAAGTTCACAATAAATGAGCTGATGTTCTTCAGTCACAGGTGGAGAAAAGTTTCACCAAATGGTCCAGAAGAGGTTTTACAGCCAGGAGAAGAACGAAACGTTCAGAATGTGGAGAAAAGTTAGAAAAACTTTAAAGTGTCTGACTGCCTGTAATCCTTCAGATACAAAATGACAAAGAAAACAGTTATTTTTAAGAACTTTGACACTAAAGGGAATTCATTCTCTGCAGATGTTTAATGCATCAAACATATTGTTTTATTTCTAGGTTAACTAGGATGTGTTCTGATTACCAGTGATGGGCACCAATAATGTAAAAATTAGTTGCACTAACTCAAATATTTAGCTCCCCTAATTGTAAATCACAAACTCAAATATTTAGTTCCCCTAATTCTAAAGCACTAACTCAAATATTTAGTTCCCCTAATTCTAAAGCACTAACTCAAATATTTAGCTCCCTTAATTCTAAAGCACTAACTTAAATATTTTGTTCCCCTAATTCTAAAGCATTAATTCAAATATTTAGCTCCCTTAATTNCCCTTAATTCTAAAGCACTAACTTAAATATTTTGTTCCCCTAATTCTAAAGCATTAATTCAAATATTTAGCTCCCTTAATTCTAAAGCACTAACTCAAATATTTAATTCCCCTAATTCTAAAGCACTAATAAAATCCAGGTGACCCATGGAACATTCTTCAGAGTTAACATGAGATGATATTTACTGTGTGCAGAATATTGTCATATGTCATCTGGTGGATAAGTGACACACACACATAATCAAAATGTGTGACAACTTTCACCCTCAGCTGTTAATATGTTGATCAATAATATTTATAGACCTAAGTTAGTGCTTCTAAATTTAGCCCATAAATTTAGCAAGTGCTAACCCATTAATAAATTTATAAAATAGCAAAARCCCTAAAGCACTAATCAGGAAATTAGTTCCCTGATTAGTGCTTTAGGGGAACTGTGCCCACCACTGCTGACTACCGGTACTTATTATGTGTAATTATCTATTTCTGTGATTAAACTGGGATTTAGTGAATGCTCAATCTGTTTTGAGTGTCATTGTTACCTAAAGCAGTATGTGCTGATTGCTACTACATGCCTTGAGACACAACGCATAATTGTTCAATCATCTGTGTGTAGAAGGTTTGTAGGAGGATCTGGTCACGTGGTAAGGTGATGTTTTGAGGCGGGGCCAGATCCTGAAGACGGTTGTTAAAGTGAGATTACATTTCCTGATTTGAGGCCCAAAGCCACGACTGAATAAAAGTCTGTATTTTGGTCCAGCGAGCTGGTGTTGTATGAACTTCTTGCTTACACATAACATTCAAGTGTTTTTGGATATTTATTTCTGATTCTCGACACGCACTGGAGTAATTGAACACACTTTCTTTCAGCAAATTACGCATGATTTTACCCATTTTGTCACACAACGGGTACATTATGTTTTGAATCTGTCTCAGCCAGAGTGAAACAGAAAGTGACATCAAATGGGAACGCTTTAGGAAGTGGAACTCTGTTTTTTCTTTATTATAACYCTATGGGTGTGTCTCAATTCAGGTGCTGGGTCCTCATGAGTGCGCATTTGTCGGCCGCAAATGTCACTGYCCCGCTCGGARGACTGTCCCAATTCGAAGGCTCCTCATCATCCGGTCGACAAACTCGAAATCCGAGGATGCATCCATGTATCCTCACTGACCGAGGATATCCCAGGATTCAATGCGCGGGCAGCAAAATAAACAGAGAAATGAAGATGGTGGAATTTTAATTTTTTTAACGAGTTGGTGTAGTTTGGAGATTCACTACGGACCGAAGTATTTGTTTATAAAAGTACGTTTAGCAACTTAGCTGATGAAATTTACGCTGCAATAAGATGCTAAAACAAAATGCAACTACAAGTTATGAGAATAAAATCATAACATTGCAAAATTAAAGTCAATTTGAGAATAAAGTCAAAATTACAAGATTAAAGTCATAAAAAGTTATAACATTCCTGCCTTTACATAAAAAAGCATGCAGTTATCACTGCATTAAAATGAGGAATGTTGAGCAACTTGTCAAGTTTTTCAAGAATTGCTTAAAATGGTTAATCTTTTAGCACATCAGTATCAAATTATCAGTAGTAGAACTTGGAAATTGTGCAAACGACTGTATGATAAACTGAAGCTGTATTGTAATTAATGGATGCATTGACAGATTTAGTCAGCACATAGTTATTTGGATGAAATCATATTAATCTAAGAGTGATCCAGGTTATCATGGACTACTTATAAACACAGACACACATGGCTGTACACAGCAGGTGTGAGGAAAATCAGGAGGAAATGAGGAACAGAAAATGGACACGTCATGTAAGATTATGACTTTTTATCCCGCAATATTATGACTTTATTCTCATATTATTATGACTTTATTGTTATAATAATAATAATAATAAATATCAGTGTGGCCCTAATATTTTATTGTAGATACTGGAGCTAAACCACACACACACATATGAACTTTAAACACAATTTCTCTATTTATAAATGTTTTGTTTGTTGTGATCCTCCAAGCAGCTCAGTGGCGCTGAAGCTCCGTCACTGAGTTTTCCTGCTGCAATTAAACCCACGAAGAAGAAGCGAACAGTCGGTGGTTTGTTGTTGTTTCTTAGCTGAGTTATAAACCAGGTTGTTTCTGAAACGATGTCTTCAGTTCATCATCTGAGAGAGTTTATTTGCGGGAGGCTGACAGCTGCTGCTGCAGAAATCTTCTCCGAGTTTGAAAAAACCATCCTGCGGTACG